CCAACCTTTTCAGCAAGCACAGGGACAGCCGTATTATGGAAATTGGCAGCCTCCGATCCTCCCTCAACCTCCAGTCCCTCCTCAGCATCCGGTTCCTCCTCGGCCTCCCCAGCAAGCTTGTCGGCCAAACCAGGGAATCAAGATGACTCGGCAGCGTACTTGGCCTCAGCAAGCACAGGTGCAGCAAACCCAGCCAAGCAAGCCCGAGCCGACTCCTGCGCCTGTGTACACATTACATCCTCAGCTGCCGCAACAAGAAGCAGAGAAGTGCAACTATAGAAGCAGGTCTGACGCGAGGCGCAAAGCAAACACGACTTGGGGGGCCCCACCGCAGGTCGCCGAAGGTTACAAGCATGCCATCAGAAATAACACCGGTTTTGTCTCTAGGCGAGAGCCAAACCCGCCCATACTCAATGGTGGCTATCGGCAGCAAAACCCTCTCGGAGTTCCGAACAATAATCCCTCAAAACTATTCTGGGTGCCCGCTTACGTTGATTTCGCTGGAGCTGTGCCGGACAATGATCGTCCCAACGTATAAATCTCTTCACTCACCAACGAACTTCGAATGGAGAACTTGCAGCAACGCGCGTCCAGAAATTAATGAGTGTCGATTTGATGGAAAAGAGGCGAAGTGCTGGGACTGTAAGGATTGAAGATGATCGGCAGTGAGGGAGCCTAATTTGAACATACAACATCGGACCGGGAGACTGAGAGGGGGGTCTAACATGCTTACACACGATTATATTTAACCTCCGATGCTTATTTCAACTTCATCTCCATATTCCCAGTTCATTCCCTCAAACGAACGTCATATTGCTGTTATTTACATACCCTTAATACCGAAGAACATAGTAGTCGCCTCCTTCCTGGTGTAAGTCACGATAAGAGTGAGGCCTGTAGGACTGCCAACTTGCCAATCTTGTATTCAGAAGACCTGGCATTGCAATACTCTCTGTTTCAAGAATGGCATGATGCTTGCTCCACGTTCATTTCCACAGAGGTTTCTTATGTTTACTTAAGTATGTATAAACTTCATGATCCGATAATAGGAGACTTGAAATATCGAACAGCTGTAGCCTCATAGCCCAAAGCCTGTCGCCCTCGCTCAGCACTCGCAGTATTTCCGCCGAGAGCAGGCTGTATGCTGTCTCGCCTATTGAACCAAATCCACTTAGCTACTATGTCATCCGGGCTCTCTGTGCAAGCAGTCATGCTCCTGTACTTTTGCACTTCGCCTGAGCAACCCCGCACTTGTTGTCTCTTCCTCCTTCCGCGGGGCAACCGCCACGTCACCCCTGACATATCCATGTTATCGCGGTACGTCTCTGCGATGCTGTTCGACTTTTTCAATTCCATATCTCTGCATGCGTCACTGTTCATTAGGCTTTCTTATCTTAACGTCCTGATTTGCGGTAGTCTAAGGCAGTCTGCGGTGAGGAGGGGCTGGTTCCAAGACCAGCTTGAGGTTCATTTGCTCAATTTCCTCTGGCTGACCGGTTCACATGTCAGAATACCTCGGAAGTCTCTCGGGTAATTCCGGCAGTGTCATGTCAAGAATCCAAGTGGTTGCAAGATTCGGCATTCATAGTTCAATGCCATTGATGACCCGGAGGTGCATCATCCGAGTGGCCACTTGTGGCTGCCTTGTTGGTCGCCTTACGGCTGCGCGAAATATGATTACCTTACCTCGATACTATGACTCTTGAAAGCGTAGTCTAACCTTTTGTTCGCCAGCAAAAACCACATCCATTGTCTCGGGGCCAAAACGAGCAAATTCTAACCTACATCCTGTATCTCAGACCAGTATCACGAACACTATTCTACTCTCAAAGCGTCCGGTACTTGCAGGCAAGCGACATGTTTTGCGAAATGATAGGTACAGCAGATTGTGTTATTTTCCGTGATATCGAGGTGGATCGAAGGTCAAAATGACCGCGCTTTTCCTACCGCTTTTGCTAGTATTTGATAAGCTGTAATCTATTGGAAGACTGATTGAGGGCTGTGGATAAGTTTATGAGATATACCAGCGCAGATCGTCGCATGTAGCCATTTTCTGATGACTCGCATGGAGTCCCAATCACGGAGCCTGACGATGGTGTTATAGCTAGCTCACATGCTTTCACACCAGAGCCAACCACCGCAAGCAACCTAAGAAATGGCTAATCACGATCATCTAGCCAGGCAACCGGTAGGATCTAGACTCATATTCATGACATTCGTCGTTATACGTTTAACTATCCATTTGATGTCGTCCATGGCCCAAGGCAGTCATGAATACAACTGTAAGAAAGTTCCATGTCTCAAAGCCATGATGTACCTCCATCTGTGGGGCTATCGTTGCTGGTCACCAATCCACGGAGGCTTTCGCTCTCTATCATGCTGGTAAGCAGTGGTTTTACGCTTTAGGTGTCTTGCATAGAGACTGGGCACATTACCGTATTCCTATTGGGAGGAGCTGATCAAAGATTGTATGGTAAGGTAGCGGATGTTGCCTGTGGTTGCCTCGCAAGGCGTACTGGACCGCTGCGCCTCTTTCTGACTCACCGTAATTGCGATCAAAGGGGGCCTCCTGTTCAAGGATTCAGCTGCTTGTCCCTGATTTCCTATATCAAGACCCATAATCGCTAACTATTGTTATCGCTGTCGCATCAATGGGCACAGACATCAAGGAATCATGGCAGATCCGATCTCGTTAGTCACTGTTATCGGCAGCACAGTGACGACGTGCATGGCCATCGCTAAACTTGTCGACGACTGCGCTGAGGCAAAAGAATACATCAAAAAAACCGAGGGAAGGCTGAGGATCTTTGGGAACACACTCAAGAAACACAGTGCCATACCTCACAATAAAGATAAGAATGTCGAGGCGCAAAAGCGGGATTGCGCAGAAATCATCTCCAGGATCAATGCTCTCCTAGGGGACTATAAGGATAGGAAAGTACTCTGGGCCCTCCATGGGAAGCCCAAGCTGACAAGCCTGGAGCAAGAACTTGGTTTTTCCATGAGCATGTTGCTCACCACAATGGGATTATCCAAAGAAACTGATGCTCAAACACATAGTTTTGGGGGGTCTTTGAGATCCGGAAAGGGCCGCAAAGGATCTGAGTCCATCAAGAAACGTTCTCCAGTCAACCGCTCGTCGAAGGCCCATCCCAAAAAGATGTCCGAAAATTCAACGAAGAATCCGGCCTCCGCCTCAAAAGGGAAGAAAACGACGACAACCTCAAACCCGTCCAACCCGTCCAAAGCAGTTCAGTCTAAGAAGCTCCCGTCAAACCCCACCGGAAAGTCAAAAAACGACGGGTCCCCGAAGAGGCGCACAACCCCCCCGAAAGGAAGCTCCGTCTCCAAAGGTGTGGCAAAGAGAACGAAAATTCCTTCATCAACATCTACGAAAGCATCAAGTAAACCTTCCAAGTCGAAAAAGCAGCGAGAAAATCTCTAAAACATAAACTGGCCGCCAAAGATCACCATACCTTAGTCTCCACCAAAGACGTCGGATGAACGAATCCATGGAACCTGCTCCAAACGCATGCCCCAAAAGGGAGCCGCTCCGCCGCCACAGGGCGTTCCACCGACGACAAACCTTGGAAACCACGTGCCTCGAAACAACTACAGACCTTAATCGACCACAGCAAGCCCGAGGGCGTTATCACCGCAGAATAACGCCTAGTACAGCTCAAGGTTCTCCGGTTCTGGCAGCGGCGGCGGCGGCCCCTCCTCTCGCGCCACCTGTCAGGCGAAGCAATAGTAATCCTGTTCCTCAGCGGGAATCAAATTGACCGCCGACAGGTGATGGCCATCGGCAGCAACGATCCATTGGGTTTTAAGCGTTCCAATTCCCGTGTAGTTCTCGGGGTTTGCGACGATCCAACTCGATGCCAATGGGGGCATCATTGGACAACCCACGCGTAAGTCTTCTCGTTCACCAAGCAAGCTTACCGCGGCTAACAGGTCGCAACGTGGAAGCATGAACATTAAAGATTGTCGACTCCACCAAGCGAACCAACGAACTTACATGACACGTATCTATCTGTTGTATATGCACGTGTCCGGAGAACATGGAAGGGTCAAAATTGCGCTGGGGAGGTGGTGATATCATTCACATCTTTCATCCAATTACTCAACAATTCAATTTGAAACCCATTCAAAATTCAAACTCCCTCTTGTAGGCAGTGGATAGCTTCTTATCTTGGACGTTAGGAAGCATGTTCCATAGTAAGGTGGTCACTGAACATGTTCGCGTCGAGTCGATGATCACAAGCGAGTGGCATACGAGTTTGGGACATTATCAGTCCACGTGACGTATGGGAGATCTAATTGCATAAGAACTGCATTTCCTAGCTTCAGATAGCCTTTTCTACTTTCTAAGTTCACCCCGATGACTTTAGCTCCCCAGCAAGATGTGGCGCCTTTTGAGAGACAATCTCAGGAAATGATTATCTTCTGCTGCGACTAAATATCGTTGAGTCTCAGGCTGAGATTTGACTCTATTTGGGCTACACCCTGTTCGTAAAAACATGCCGCATGTGCGGCTCAATCTTTGTTGAATTTTGGGTATCTATTCCTCTGTAAGCCTAGGGGGAGAAGAGCCCAAAAAAGGGCCCCACGTGGATACGGTCAAACTCTGAGGCTAAGGATCATTTCGGAAAGCAATCTCGAGAAATTTATCTTATTCGATATGAGGAAAATGAAAGCTTTGCTATCAACATCCATGGATGGATTGGGATGATGTATGCTTGGACATATCCTCAGTAGCACTTGTAGGACTTTCAGTTGCATAAACATCGCAATAGCCATGTGTTTGGTCCTCGAGAATTCCTGTATCGGGGTTTCAATATAAGCGACGTCCCACTCGATCACTAACGTGACTACAGTGTTCACAGTGTTCAGGCGCCGCTGCACGATTCCACCGGCATCAACCACGATCAAATCGTGCGTCAATTGTCTTTCCGCGAGGCGATGTCATCACTCAGATAAACATTTGTTTCAAGATAAGTATGTGGCTGGCTGTTCGCTCAGCCGCTATCGCCCGGGCCTCCGGCCGCCTCCGCCGACCGGCGTGCCGACATTACTCGGCCGTGGTAGCATCCAGGAAGTCGGACCCGCTCCGGATCCTGTTCTGCGGCTCCGATGAGTTTAGCTGCGCTGCATTGAATGCGCTGGCCGCGGAGAAGAAGCTCAATCCGGGGTTGATTGAGTCGCTGGATGTCGTGGTCAGGCCTGGCAAGTTGACTGGGCGTGGGATGAAGCAAATCCGTCAGGGTGAGCGTTTTCCTCCGGTGTGACAGGTTGAGCAGGTTGCGCTAACTATTCTCGAAGTGCCGTTGAAATCCCTTGCCGAGCAACTCAGACTGCCAATTCATGTTAGAGACACATTCACTGGGTGGAAGGTATTGCGGTTCCAAACTGGACCAGCGATTTACCATCGCTAACCATGCCAGCCTCACAACGACATCAACCTCATCATCGCCGTCTCTTTCGGTCTCTTTGTTCCACCAAGGCTACTTAACTCCGCCAAGTACGGCGGACTCAATGTGCATCCATCAGCACTCCCAGCGTAAATATTACCGCATCTTCTCCAACACCGCTGCCGCTGACGATCGCCAGTTTCCGAGGCCCGGCACCTCTCCACCACACTCTCCTCCAACGATGTACACACACCGGCGTCACCCTTCAAACACTTCATCACAAGACTTTCGATCACGGTACCGTTCTATCCCAGACCCGGCCCCCAGGCATTCCCATCCCGAAGGACTGCACTTTGCAAGGCCTGCACGACATCCTCACCCCGATAGCTGCCAACATGCTCGTAGACGGCCTTCGACGAGGCTTGCACATACCGCCCCTAAAAGACGTGGGTTGGAAGCCGACCGAAGGAGAGCAGGAGATGCTTTGCCATGCGCCGAAACTTGCCAAGCGTGATAGTCAGATCGACTGGTCTACGTGGAGCGCGGACGATATTGTACTTCGCCAGCGGGTCTTGGGCTCGCTGTGGTCCATGGCGTTGGCGGATCGCGAGCGCAAGAAGTCAATGAGGCTGATTCTCGAGAACGTGGAGAGCGTGAAACGACCCGCGGACGTCGAGAGATGGATTCAAACATACTTTGAGCGCCAAAAGTCCGGGTCTCAGCATAAACGGGGTGAGCTTGATGAGAAGCAAGCTGTCGAAGAGAACCAAAAGTTGGGTATCAAGGTGATCGACTGGCTTTGGCACCCCAAGCATACTTCTGCAGAGGACATTATGAACGCTCAAGACACCAGGCTGGCTTACTTTGAAGAGAAGGACGGCAGCATCTTGATCCCGGTCCCAAAAGGAGGGTGCCTGAAGGTACCGACGATAAAGGTTGAAGGCTCAAGCAGCAAATCAGCAGCCAAGGCGATTTCCAGCAACTTTGGTTTTATTGAGAAAGATTGAACCCTCGAACGGGTATGATAACTGCCGTGGTTTCGAGCGCGCTTTTTGGTATCTAGACTACGAGCTGATCGGTATGATTTCTGGTTGTTGACGGCCAGCGACAACTTGTAAGATGGCTCACAAAAAGTAGTGTCAACGATGAAGGGTCATGTATTGGTCACTGCATAGAAGTTCTAATTCGGTCATTGCCAGGCGTTGACCAATAGGTATCTCCTGAGACGACGCTCTCTGAGGACAGAGAAACCGACAATAGAGAGTTACTTCAATCGTTGCTGGACCAGGGGTGCGGCCATGCGGCCGAAGCCCGTGAGCTGAAGATCTGGACTCAGTCTAGGTGGTCATCAGCCCCTGTATGGATGCGCCAGCTAGACTATTGCTCTCAGCAGAAGTGTTCTTTGAAAATTGCAAACCCGAACCCAGCTGCGCCAGCCAGCGTTATGATTGCCACACGCGAAGTCGTCGAACCACCGTGACGTTCCTTCCCAGTGATTACCATCCATCGCCAGAACCTACCCACATCGCCAGTAAATCGTACTCTGTGTCGAAATTTTAATTTGCTCACTCAACTCACTTCAACTTGCTCAGTTCTGAAAGCACACTCGGCAGCTTGAGGAAGGCACCACAGTTGACTTGTTCCAAGTGCCTTCCTTCTCAACTTGGTTTGCGTAGCCACTGAAAAAGGCAAGAATTTCCTCGACAGGTACACTTTCCATAAATCATCTCACTGCGCGCAAATACTTTCGCAGGTGAGTTTTCAGAATCCACAATTGCCGTTTTCTCCTTCTTTCTCCGTTTCGTCGAGAACCTACCTCACCTTCTCCCCTTCCAACCCAGATACCTCAACCCTTCATAGTCAACCATCAAACCTTACCATTCACACAGATCCCAAGGTATTACTCTACACAAGAACGTCGGAGAAAGAATGCGACACAATCTTGGACCAGCCGAACGGGTATCCGCCGAAATTTCGAACTCTCGCCGATCAAGCTCCATGCCTCCCGACTACATGAGAGCTTATGGTCGGTTCATCGAAGCAATCAAGGTTGCCCTCAACGAATATAACATGAGCTCTGGCGAAACCCCTCTCAAGTTTGTCGGCCCAATCCTCACACCCAACAACAAGATTGGCGAGATCCGCATCGTCGAAGACACTGAGCCGGAGGAAGACGAGGATTCGGGCATCGGAATGGAGTCGGAGTCGCTTTCCCAAGACAGACTTGCCGCCACAATGAAGAGCAGACCCCCTTCTTTGTCTCCGATGAGGGAATTTCCACGGTTGACAAGACCGAGATTTATCTCCTCGGCTGGTGAGAATGAATCCGAGCCTATGATGATCGACACCTCACCGGAAGCCATGTACATGACACTGGCGCGTTCACAAGGCGGAATTGCGAACTCTCCTCCTCAACGCAACAGAATTCGGCAGCTACATGACGTGGACAACTTCGACTGGGAATCCAGCCCTACGATCGCGGAATGCTCGTTTACGGCGAGTAACCCCGAAATCCATGAGGAGGCCGCCTTCAACCGATTTATTCGAGATCGCTCACAAGCTCCAACGCCGAATGCCTTCGTTCAGGCACAGCACGCTACTACAGTCGAGCCGAAAGTCACCAGGGAGGATTCCTTCATTGAAACCGAAGATGAGGTGGGAAAGGATGCCATGACTCTGGGCGTTTGCGACTCTCACCAGGCAGACGACGAGAACGGAGACAGTGCTACCCTTGACGCCGTTAGTGACGACGATGTTGACAAGTTCCTCAGCGACCATTGCCAGGAAGACGAAGAGAACGGAGGCAGTGCCACCCTCGATGTGCTCAGCGACGGCGACGCTGACAACGTCCTCAGCGACCCCGATGTTGACAATCCGCAGAGCACCACCGAAGACGTTGGAAAGACGGTTGTCATGGTCATCGACAGCGACACCTCCAGCGATGACAGCGACGAGGACTCCGAGCACAGCATCTACAAGCCATCCATCCACAACTCTCCCTCCGAAAAGGATTCCCTGCTTCGCTTGCGACGCTCGACGCCTCTCAGCCCAAACTTCCTCGAAAACGACGACGCCAGGGAAATGCCACCACCTCCTCGCGCATACTCAATTGATAGACGCTCCGCTACCTCCCCTGTTCGGAATCTGATCCGGCCGGGGCCTGTCCGTCGACCCAAAGTATGGCGCCCTACGCTCTGGACGCCAATTGACAGGTTCACTCCAACCCAGCGGATGGAATTCGACGGGGCCCTGCGTCACTCGCTTGCTACTGCCACCCGTGGTACGACCGTCTGGAACGGTCTCTTCAACGGCTCTCGGGAGTGGGACGATTGAACCAACCCGCGCGTGCTTGAGCATGCCTCGAATGCCGAGAAGCCGACGACCAGATCACCTTGAACAAAAGCCATCAGTTCATATGAATATTATGAGATTTAATCAATGGTAAGTTTTGAGCGACATCCTGAGGGGGATTTTTTGCTTACGACGACGGCAGGTTCTTCCAAAGAACCATGAGAGACCCGCACCTCAACAAATTGCACGAAAATGAGGTCTATTCTTTGGGATCATCGAGGGAGAATGTTTTGCGCTTTAATTTCCTTTATCTGCTTTTTGACAGTTTGTAAGTCTGTCTGTCTGTGCCACGCTGGGTTTTTCGGGACTAACTTTGGGGAAGGATTTCTTAGAATGCGCACTTCCCCTTTAGCCCCGAGGCACGATGCTTGCCGCCACGGACACATACAATCCTACGTCATTCCCACAGACCTTTCCGGCCGTGCAAAGAATAGAGAACACGGACTCGGGAGGAACACAGGGTCCATTTTTCAGGGATTTACAAGGGCATTTGGTGTTATCGGACATTGGGCGGAGGAGCCCGGGCATGGACATCAGGATCATCACAAACCAGGACTGGTAACGACTGTAACATTCCAATTTTTCTCTTTGCTCTACCAACACATTACTTCGAACCACTCATTACATATGAATATATCATAGCTTGGAGCCCTTTCAACGATGGACTGCCACCGTCAGGTCCACGTCGAGCCTTCCGAATGAGTGAGACACTAAAATGTATCCACCAACTAATTGACTCGCGGTTTTGTACAAGACGCGCGCGCATACACACCAACGTCGTCGTAGCGAACGGCGATCGGCCTCCCCCCGGTTTGTTGTTTACTCGAGACCGACGTCTTCGACTCACATCTCTGTATACAACCTCTCACCCACTACTAGATGGAAACCCCCGGCAAGTGAACGCGGGGGGGATCTTTTGGATTTGTGTGTCCTAGACCACCACCACCAGCTTACATCACCAAGCCGATGACAACGGAGACAACAGCGGCCAAGCTGAGGGCACCGACGGTGCGGACGCCAGCGGCGCCGGAGTCGATGCCGTTGTTGCTCGTGGAGCCGCCCTTGTTGCCGTTGTTGCCGTTCTTCTGCTGCTGGCAAATGCCCATGAGGGTGGAGTTGTTCATCATCTCGTTGAGCTTGGCCTCCTTCTTGGCAGCCTTGGCCTTGAACTTCTCGATCTTGGTGGTGTTGCCCTTGAACTTGTCGTTGAGGGCGGTGTCGTTCTTGGAGAGAGCAACGAGCTTGCTGTTCCGGTTGTTAGCGGCCGTTCATGTCATCTTGTCATCTTACACAGAGAGTAACTTACTTGAGCTGCTTCATCTGCTTGCACTCTCCCTGGGTGGTCCTGGCGGAGCAGTACTGGAGGAGGGTGGTGTTCTTCTGCATGTCGGCGAGCTTGGTCATGCCCTGCTGGACCTTGGCCTTGATCTTGTCGGCCTTGGTCTGGTTGTTCTTGGTGATGGCGGCGAGGGCGGTGTCGTTGGCGACGAGCTTCTGCAGCTTGTCCATGCGCTTCATGAAGCCGCACTGTCCGTTCTCCTGCTGCACGGCGCGGACCTGGTCGCACGTCGCCATGAGGGTCGTGTTCTTCTTGGCCTCGTCGAGCTTGGGCTGGACCTCGGCGGCCTTGGCCTTGATCTTCTCGATCTTGGTGGCGTTGTTCTGGGTGATCTCGGCCAGGAGGGTGTCGTTGGCCGCGATCTGGACCAGCTTCTCGCCCTTGAGGAACCGCTTGCACTGCGCCTGGGTCGAGTTCTTGCCGCCGCCTTGGTGGTCCTTGGCGAGGGCCGTGGCGCCCAGGAGGGAGACGAGGAGGAGAGAGAGCTGCATGTTGGCGGCTGTGTGGTGGATGTTGTGGAGGAACGGAGGTGGAGATGTTTTGTTTTGTGAGGTTATATATATAAAAGGCGGGCCGGCCGCAGTAAAGAAAGACAGTTACTGAGAATTGAAGAGATGATGAGATGACCGCAGGCCGCTGAACCAACAAGAAGAGAGGAGGGATGAGGGCAGACACGGCCAAGTCTTATACCAAAGGTTCATACCACACCCCACGCGGACCAGACCACCCACACCGGGTCTCAACCGTCCGTCGAATTCATCCCATCTCCATGTAAGTGCGTGTGCGCGTGAGCGTGAGCGTGTCGAAGTGTGAGTGTACCCCCTCCTCTCTCTTCAGAACGGCACTCGCACGAAACCGACATACCAAACGCACCTTGAGCAAGCCCCCCTCCCCCCCTCCCCTCCCCAGAAGGACGTCGCCCCCGTCCAACGAATCGCCCTTCAGATGGCATGTCTCAACCCCCTCCTCCGCTACGCGATGCCTGGCCGGCTGTGTCCACCCACACAGGCTGCAACCGTAGTTCGGTTTATCGGTGCGCGAACTCGCCTCTCCGGTTCTTTCTGCGTCCTTCTCGCTGTGCCTTCTATGTTCAGCGGTTCGGCGGGCCATGCACCACCAATTAACACCCATGGGCTACATTAACAGTGGCAGAATGCAAACCCAAAATTGGGTGCTTGTTCGCTCACATTGCTTGCGCGCGGCTCACCGAACCTGGGTGAACCCTCGAAGCCTTTTCTTTGCAAACATCGGACATCGGGACCTAAGCGGCGCGTTGTTGCGTTGTTCTCTTTCTCGCTCTCTTCTGTCCAACGTCGAATGATACATTCGCGCGGCAGACAGCTGCCGTTCGAACCAGGTCCAGATCATGTGTAACAGACGATCCGCCCCCCGTTCGTAACCAAACTCGACATTGACACTTTTTTTTCTGAAGTTCGATACACGCTATCACCGAGGGCCTGACGTGGCCTTGGCGGGAAGTGGGCGGTAATTGTGACTTTTGGGCGCGCCAGTGGTTGAGAGAGAAACACATCACGGACATTTTCTCCTGTTGTTTTTCCAAACGGGACCAGCCCCCCGGCCTGCGCTGCTGACGACGGTTGCAGCAGCAGAGGGGGCAGATGGGAAAATCCCACGGCAAATGGGCGCCTTCGCGGCAACGACATGCCGCACGAATTGCGACTCTGGTGTAGGAATGCGCCCCCCAGTAACCACGATTCCAATCTGTCTCTACTGCACCGTACCCGCTAGCGCGTTGCTTCAGATGCGGCTCAAACGGCATGTTTTGGCACTCTCTCTCCTCCACTCTTTTACTGAGGTGCACTAAGAGGTAAACCCCCTACACCCCTGCTGCCTCCAACGTCAATCCCAGCACCCACGCATTGTCCGTTTCAGCTACCCCCCAGCCCGGACGCGACGAAACACTGCTGATCGATCGACAGTACAGCTTAGCTTAGCCCAACACACACACACACACACTTTCTCTACGCCTGGAGACGGATAATGCCTGGGATCTTGGCCAGCCTTCTTCTGTTCGCCGTCTCGACCTGGCCGCCCTCGCCCAATGATATCGTGAGTCGCAATTGCTGGCGTCGGTCACTCGAGGCCTCGAGGCCAATCGTTTTCGCAGTAACTGTACCCAAAAATGGCACTTACAGCGGAGATTCGGGCCCCCCTCCCCCCCTTCCGTTGGCCCCCATACAATAAACCTTGTCAACGCAAGGGGGGAAAAGAAGGTGATCTCGACTGCTCTTAATACAATCTCTGGTAGGAGAATGACAATCATGTGTGCCAAGATTTGATGAGAGGCGGGCCTGCGATGTAACCGCAGCAGTCGAGCATAGCAGATCCAAACGCACATCCCCTTTGCGCTCCCTCTTGGGTGTGGTTCACACCGTTCAGCGAAGTCACTCTTCCTTTCCCGCGGTTGTTCCGAGGTAAGGTAGTCTCGACACACTCGCCGGCTCGCTACTGCTTCTCTTACACGTGTATACGTAGCCCAGATACACAATTCAAGCTTCGAGGCGGCGCTAGCGCTTGTTTAGCTGCCGTCCTTGCCTAGTCTGGCACCTGGGGAAAAGAATGGCTGCCGTGTTACCCTACAGGAGTGACAGGAACCTATCCATCAGTGGGATCTGCCCCCTCCCCCGAGGTGGCTAGTCTAGTGGGAGATCCGCATGTGAGGCCTTGGCGATTTGCGGCTCAATGCATCCGTGTCTTGGTCGAGTCTGGAGTTGAGCGAGTGCACCTGGCGACATGCAACTACGGGAGGAATCATCTTTTCAAGTACAGTGGCGCCCAATAACGGACCAAGTGGTATGGCGTCGTTGCGGCGATGCAGGAAAGTCAAAAAGAATAAAAGGGGTCTTGGCCGAAAGATGCGCCAAAACGGCGTCTTCTGCCGTCTCGCATTCGTCTGCTTTTGTGGTGTACCGTCCGTGATCCTCACCCGCGGCCGAAGGTGAGCCGAAAAGGTGAAGAGAAAGGGAACGAAAGAAAAGAAACGGTGGCCACCGCTCCTTCGCGTCGTGTCCGTCCAGCCAGTCGCCTCTCCATCCGTAGAGCCGTCGTCATCTCGTCGTCGGACCATACCGCGATTGGAGGGGCGAGCAGGACCAGGCTTGTTCGATCTTCCTCTCGTCTCTTGCACCTCGAGAGTCCAACAGTCCTTGCTCGCTGGGCCCGTTGTCGTCCGGAAAACTCTGTCTGTTTGCTTGTGTCATCCCCTCTTTCCGATGCCATACGTCGTCTCCCTTCGAGGTCTCATGCTTGTCTTGACGAATACCGGCTTTCGCTTCCGCTTCGGCCAAATTTTCTCTGTCTGACTGGCAGCTGGAGAAACTGCACTGGTTGCAGCTAGCAAAGGACGATGAAGTGGACTCCCGTAGCCGCTGCGAGATGCATTGCTGCTGCTGCTGCATCTGAGCGCGCATACGTACCCTTACGACGAGACATCACATCCCGTAGGCATATCGGCGGTAAAGCCAAGAATGGCCAGATTTTCCCCCCTTCTCTGTATTTTCCCAGACATGTCCTGCAGATACTGATGCCCGTGATCGACGTCCCCGCAGCGTTTCCTCTTGGCCTGCCCCCCCAGGTTCCGGGATCCCCTTCTCTTTTTTTAGGGTCACTCTAGGAGAGAAAA